TTCATAAGAATAGTTTTACAGACTTGCATTAAAGGCATAATACAGTAGTAATACCAGTGGTTGAACGTAAGGGGATGGGGGACAGTAAGGAAACAGGAAAATTACAAAATGTGCCATGCAAGCTTAATACAGCAATTGTTAATAAAATATGCAAAGGAAGGAAAGAAAGGTAGTTTAATTTTCTATAAAGACCTCTCCATATGTTTACCCGGGAAACTGGGGATTTAGTGGGCTTTGCATCTGAGCTAACATAGGAGAAGAATTTATGCCATGCTGAATAACAGTGATCTATTATTGTCTAACCTCTAAGGATTCTCCTTTGATGCATTAAGTGTCCCAAAGCAAACTTAACTTTATGAGGGTCAAGACCTTTGGCAAATGTGGACTCAGGCTGCAAAGCACCATGGGGGATGTGAATGAAACATGAGTCACAGCCATGATGACTTTTATGATGACTGTTGTTTCAGTTGAAATTAGCTGCATTCTTGGTGGGGGGAAGGTTCTAATTTTGCTAAGTGAGTGTCTCAGAAGCAGTGTGGTCCAGTGGTTAGTTTGTCAGACTATGCCCTGGGAAGCCGGGGTTCAAATCCCCACCCAGCTATGAAGTTCACTTCGGCTGGTCATTGTCCTTCAGCCTAACCTACCGTACAAAGCTGTTGGGAGGATAGAATGTGGCCATTGGAGAACCATGTATGCCATTTTGAGTTCTTTGGAGAAATACAACCAATAAAATTGCAGGACAGGCACCTCCCCACTCAAGCACAATCAGCGACTGCTGATCCGTGTGCTGTTTTCAGCACCAAAAGGGGGCAGAATGGGGGCAGAATGGAACAGGGGCAGAGCAGGGGGTGGAACAGGGCTGAGCGGACTTGTGCGCATCCCTCTGATTCCCCTGTACATTCATTTTCAGTTGCTTCTGGAACACTCCATAGCTGCAACCATTCAAGTGTAGAGCAATCCCGAGGAAGTCTAGGGTGTGTGGTGAAGTAGCTTTCTAAGCTCAAACGAGGAGGTGGCAGGAATGGCTTTCCCCCTCTTCCACTGAACCTAAAAAATATATATCTCAAGTTACTTTCAGCTGGAGGAGAAATATTCCAGATTTGCTACTGGCGTAGTTCATCTCCCTTATCTGTGGTATGCTGTGATTGAATGGGGGGGGGGGCCTTTGGATCCTACAGATCCAAAGTCCCTCCCCCATGTGCCTCTGGCACACACCTTCTCATTTTGTTGCATTTTCATTTGAAAGACTTGTGTCCCACCCTTCGTTCTGCAGCCGTTTGATGGGAACCACTGGAGTGGAGAGTCGTGTTGTGCTCAGATCCTGCTTGTGGGTTTCCCATAGGCATCTAGGATAAGAGAGGGGCTACTGGTCTACCTGAGCAGGGCCGTCCTTACGTTCTCGTGAGCCCAGGGCCAGTTACAGCAATAAGGCACTTGAAACAATCGGCAACATTAAAACACAATAAGCAACTCGGTGCAATTAGATAAAACCTCTGCCATCTGTCAGCCAATTCCTTCACATTCAAAGGCCTGAAGGGAAAGGCAGGTCTTTAGCTGGCACCTAAAGATGGATAGCATTGCTTAGATCCGGCATAGATGTCAAATGAGTACAAAACACCTGCTGGTGTTTTATTTCATTAGGAAAGGGGGGTGAAACCCAGAATATGTAAACAAAACTGGTGACTGTGCTGTGTGCACCGTTCAATAATCATGCGCAGAAATTGGTTTTGAGGACTTCAGTATCATTCCCGTAACTTGAATGAAAAGTACTGCCGAGTGCCAGTAAGCACCTCCTAAAATGGAATCTCCCATAAAGCAGAGCTTCTTTGTAACTCTGATGTCCCCCCCCTTCCCCCATTTCAATAAACCAAATGCTGGTTGCTCCATAATCGCAAAACACACAGGTAATGAAAACAGTTTCAGCCTCGGTCCTTTTGCTTGCTTTCTCTCCACCACCCCCCTTCCACCCCCCATCTGTCCTGCTCTCCCTCCCATCTGTTTCTTTAACTCAGTCTGCTGGAATCCTGCTTCATGAAATGGAATCTAAATTCCTAACACAAGCCCTGTATCAGTCACCTACGTACGTACGCACACATGCACACATGGAGAAGCCTTCTGAAGAAGAAGCACCGTCCTCACATTCGGTGGCCGTTTGTCAAGCCCGATTATTTCATGGACAAGCAGTCTTTTTTAAATGACAACAGGGCAGGATAGGTTTAAGTATGAACAAAATGTGCTCTGATTCCAGATGATGCGCTTCTGACGAAAAGAAGAGGAGAAGGAAGAACCCCAGGTCATCCTTTAATCAGCTGCTGGCAATGTTTTCGGGACCTTTGGGCAAACTTCGCTTGATGATGTCAAGTATATGGTAAGTGCTTTGCCACTTAACTCATTTATCTGTGGGTCTTAAATTCTGTACAGCAAGATACTTGGTTGCATGCATTCTGTCACAAGTTTGGGGTTTGTTTGTTTTTTGCTGAATGGAAAACAATTGGATTACGTCTTTGATTGTGCTTAATGGCTTGTGTGTCTTATGTAATCATATGTGATAGTGTTGGGTTCTCTCCCCCCCCTTCTGCCAGTCCACACTGTTGTGATCTTGGGAATACTATGTATAGCTATGTGCAGTTTGCAAATGCAATGGATGTGTTCCTCCTGCAGGTGAATTTGTCTAGGTGAATGCTTCAAGTTGTGGGGGAAAGAGGGAACAAACTTTCATAAAAGTCTAGAAGCTGACATTGTGATCTAGCCAAAGTGAAGCACTTTCGAATCCCATTGATTTAAGTGTATGGCCAATTCTCCCTGTAAAATCAATGGAACTTATAAAAGCACTTAACTTTGGCATGAATATGCCATGAGAAATTAATCGTAAGCCTTTTGGGTTATTCTCCCAGTTGTGTATATTTCCACAATATAAATGTGACGTGTTTAGATTAAAATGTAGTCTTTTTTAATTGGTAGCATGCTCTCCATCACGAGGTGCTTTATTAAGAAACATTATTTAATCAGTGAAATCCTAGAGTGTGGCATCTCATTTAGCCAGTTATTTAAAGTGTGTGTTAATTCTTTGGAAACTGAAGTTTCACTTAGAATGTCCTTGGAATTAGACGTCTGTCTCTTTTGATTTACTAGGACTTGACTCAACCATATTCTCTCTTATGCATTGTGTTTAAGAGCCTCATGTGGCCACCACAAAGGTACAATTACCATTCCTGTCTACAATTAGGCATTTTACAGCACTAGAGCAAACAGGATCAAATTTTAATTTATTCCTAATTATTACCAAGGTATTTTCTGAAACGTGATGGCATTAATTAATTTAGCACACAGCTGGGGTTATCCTCACAGTCCTTCCCTTTGTCAACTGATTATTTCTGCCACAGTAAAATGAGACACAAAATCAAACACTTCTGCAGTGCATTCTCTTCTGTGATTCTTGTCAATTGAAAGTAATGAATCGCCTCCCCCTTTGACACACAAATAAGCTTTTATGCTGTAAGAAGAGTTACAAATATGCAATGAGTTTAACTTAGACATCAAAGCACTTTCCCAAGATGAAAATGGGACCAAGGAAAAAAAAGTTGCAGTAATACCATTAAATATAGTAATAGTTCCATCAGGAGATTAATGCTAGTGACATGGACGACTTTTAAAAGGTATGGATAGTGCTTTTGAAGATCTTTACATGTGCATTTCAATAGGTACAACCCTTTATCCATTTTATAACAAAAGCCTGAACTACTTAAAAATGAAAGTCAACGTTGAATGGCTTATATTAATCATTCCTCCTAATCTCAAGATGTAAAGCAACAATTAAGTTGCATTAAAGCCAATGAAAGTTTTAATACTGATCTCCGTGATAGGTGAATACGGTGAATATCTCAAAAATTTGCACACACATAGGCTTCTATCCAACAGAGTGGCAGGAAATGTCACATCAACCCATGGATTTACATTTGTGCAACAGGATATTTCCCCATATGTACCCCAAATTATGTCCCCTCCCAACCCTCTGGAACAGATTTTGGGAGGATATAATGTATCCACAGCAGAGGAGGAGGAGGAAATTCTCATTGGGCAAGTGTAAATCCTTGCACAGTTACTTGGTGCTGCCTTGGATACAAGCCCAAGCTCCCAATGTAAATCAGACAATTTGCCTCCATGATGCTATGCGAAGGTCACCAATGTGATGCCCACAGGTGTGCTCATGAAGCCTGACACTGCTGTGCAGATCTTGTTTTTGCTAATAAAGAGTTAACTCCAACTTACTTGGTTTAATTTGCTGCTGGCTCGCTCCAGTCACCTGTATCCAACCTGTCCATTGCAGCTATTTAAAATGGCCTGTGCATGCCTGTCTCCAGCCTTTATTATCCGCTATGAAAATGGCCTTAGGCCCCATTGCTCCAGTAGCTCCACAGTTCTCAGCAGAATGAAGCTAACAGTGTAACAGCACTTTGGTCGTGTATTAGCATGCATTTTGTTCAGCGACGTACTGTGGAGTTCTTGACAAGACTAAAACAGTAATGGCAATGAAGGTATTATGTGATGTGATAAAGTTACTACAAAGTAGCAGTACCATATCAGTTTCACGTGGGGAATGTTTTGTGTAAATGTGCCCTCCTGTGTTGAGCGCTGGTATTTATCACACCATGGCAAGCTACTGAAACGAAGGCCTCTCTTTGATGTGGAAGATAGTAGCTCTTGCCATGGGACAAATGCATTCAAACAAAATATTGGCCACACCGAACTAACACAGTCAATTCAACTTGTGGTATTATTAGTTTGTGGATATTTTGTTCACGTGGCAAGAGTGAGGGCTTACAACACTAAGGCATCATATGGTACCTTGTGGCCCAGTGGAGATAAAGGCAGAGTATAATTAAATAGTATATGGATCATAACCAGATCTTCCTGTGTTTAACTATGAGGCTACAATTTCTGTGGCTTTTGCTTCTTCTTTTAATGGAAAGGCAAGTTATAATAAATGAACGTGAAGGAGAAGGATTGTAGCTCAGAGGCAGAGAATCTGCTTTGCATGTAGAAGGTATTGGGTTCAAATCCCTGGCATCTCTTGGTGGGGCTGAAATGCCCTCTGCCTGAGGATCTACAAGTCAGTGTAGATAATAATGATCTAGGTGGAGCAATGGTCAGATTCGAGATAAGGCAGCTTCCTACGTGTTCCTATGTATTTATAACTTGGGTGCATTTTTGCTGCTATAGAAAGCATGAGAATGAACTTTGTGAGAGAGCATTGTAGAGTTTCACTGGAATTTTTATTCGAATCTTGCCAAGTACTTGATATGTTGCCAAGTAAACATAGTGATGCCAGCAGTCACGCTTGGGCTCTCCGCTTTTCGTTTGGCACAGAAGTGCTGAGCACCCTCCGTGACCAAAGACAGTCACTCCGCTGCCTGTGCTATCGCATAGCTTCTGCTGAGTTAACTATAGAGTGAAACTGCAGAAGGAGTCCTCTCAAATCAGCAAATGCATCTCTGAGCGCCGGGGAAGGGGGTGTAAAGAAGGGGGTAGCAACAGTTTGAGCGGCTTTTGTTTTTTTGTTTTTTTAATTGATATTTATTGAATTTTCAAAAAATAACAACAAAAATTTCCAAAAAAAAAAAATTTAAGGATACAAAAAACAAAATTAGTGCATAAACAAAAAAGAAAAGAAAACCCAGCCGCAAAGAAAAAAAAAAGAGAAACAGAAAAACAAAAATATAAAGTCCTTTACAATCTCTATTGACTTCCTTTCTAGACTTCCTCCTCCTCCCTCTTTTGTTTCTTAATTTTTAATTTTTACAGCAAATCCTTTCTGTTTTTCATAACAATCTGTCATTACGTTTCCTTATTCTATTTTCCCTCTTGTCATATAAAAACTTTAAAACTCATAGCTTATATTCAATATTTACCAAATTCTTGCATCATTACCTTTTTACGAATCATTTACCAATCCTTACTTAAGTCATGTAATTTCATTCAACATCCTTCAAACATTTGTAAGCATTCCCAATATTAAAAAATAAAAAAATAATAAGTCAAATTCAGTCCAGTCAGCTTCCAACCTCCCCTCCCCTGGACCCGGGATTGTCAGTCCTTTTAACCTCGGTAATCCGGCTCCTTAACCTGGTTGTCTCGTATCCGAGGCCCTCAAGTCTCTTTCTTGCCCCTTTCGCCACTCTTGTTGATGATTCCTTTCCAGTCGTGGATGCTCCAGCAAGAAAATGCTTTTGACCCTTTGCAACAAGTCCATCCCAAACCCATTGCCCAAGCCAGACAGCAAATAATACCACTTCAAATTTCCACAAAGCTTGGAGACTTCGGCTACTCCAATCCTCTGATAGCCCATCACCAGACTCGGAAGGTCCAAATAACCATATGGAGGGGGTCGATCCATCCCCCATTTCCAAATCTGACCACATTTCATCTTTCCGAATCTGGTTTGTCCCAAGTTCATTTATCAAGTTCAAAGGCTGATCTTGCCCGTCCAAAGGTCCCTCCATCTCTGAAGCCTCCGTCACTACAGCAGGTTCATATGCTTGTATAGCCTTTAACTGAATTTCATTTGTTTGCTGCTGTGCTCTGGTAACTTCCATCCTCAAGGTCGTCTCCTGACGCATCTGGTCCAGCTGGGCACTTAGTTTTGAAAAACCTTCCAGGAACAATTGTTCAAGCCTTTGTACTAGCATTGTCCTTCAAGGTCAAAGAAAATTCTTTCCCACGAGAATAGTCCAATAGTCCTTCTCTTTTAATCTCTCTGCGTTGCAATTTCACTAAATTCCACTAGATGGAATTTTTTTTTTTTAAAGGAATAAAAGCAACAGCCACACTCTTTCTTTTTCCAGAAACACTTTATCCAAAATTCCCCTTCCAAATTCAAGAGGCAACAGTAGAATCAAAATGTTACCCTTCTTTTAACTAACTGTCGAGCTGGATAAACTTCAGAACGTCAATTCTGACAGCCCGCTCCTGGTTCAGGGCGGTGGAAAATTGCTTTATTTTAAACTCACTTCCGCAGGATTGAAAAGTCCAAATACAACCCCTTTTTCTCCTGCTGTCAAAGGGGGTTCAGAAATCTTAGATGTTGAATTCTAGTTCTCTTAAAATTTAATTTTCAGGCTTTAGTATATTTTGTCTTTGCTTTCTTCACATAACAAAAGAACGGAAGGCGACTTCCTGTTTAGACCTTCCCATTCCGAGTCCCAATTAAGTTCAATTTCAAGTCCAATATTATTTGTTTATTCACCAGTCTTAAAAGTGGTTCAGCTCTTCTAAGATCAGGTACTCACGGATAGATGTTTTAGATGCCAAATTGTCCAGGACAAAGGCAGCGCTCTCCGATAACGGCAGTGCGGCTTTGCTGCACGGAGGAAGCAGACGACTCACAGCACCACGCACCTCCACTCCGGGCCCGTTGCCGGGCTCCTGTACCAGGGAGAGAGCGCTCTCGGTGCCCGCCGAGTCCCACGTCCACAGGCTTCTTCCGCCTGTGGTTTTGCGGGTCCCCGCTGCGCCGTAGCGGCAGGACCCAAGCCTCCGTGCAGCGGGTTCCCTTCAGTCCGAAGGGAATTCCGCCATTTTCCGGAGGCGCCACCCCGGAAGTCCTCAGTTTGAGCGGCTTTTGAAGACAGACAGTTTGCAAAAACAGGAAGTATGCGGTAAAATGTGCAATGGAAGAAAAAGAAGACTCTAGAAGGATAAAGGTACAAAGCAGTTGAGATGACTTGTAAAGATCTGGCTGATTCCTGTTGGGTGGGAGCAAAAGTCCCACAAAGTCCTCAGCAGGAAGAAAGTTGTTCACTGTTGATTTGATTCCCAGGGGGTGGGGGAGATGTACCACTACAGTTCTCTTTGCCTCCCTTTCAGATACTTAGCATATTCCTTCCTCTTTTTTTATCTGAGGCTACAGAGGGAATCGATGCTTGTGTCGTCTGTGCAATCAAGTTTGCTTTGAATTTGACTTTCATACAAAATCAGACGTCTTCTTCGAGAAGTGTGCGCAAAATAAATGCCGAGCCAATGGCTTAACAGTCAAGTAAATTTAGAAAAGAATAAAGCACTGTTGGTTTAAATATAGACGAGGGACTGTGACAGGCAGATGTTTTATTAGGTCTGGGATTACAATGGTCTCTGCATACTTGGAGACCACGATCCTTCTGCACGTTTTCCAAATTACAAAAGCAGCAATTTTCAGCTGCCACATTTTGTGTTGCATATCTCTGTTTGTAAGCAGGGTGTTTTTTTCAGCCGGAACTAAGTTCCGGGTCCTCTCAGGTGGGCACTTTATAAGCGAACAAAGGAGGCATTTGTGGTGAGGTCCAGCACCTCTTTTTCTTAAAAAAATAGCACTGTTTGTAACCACTGTTAAGAGTAATGTTCCTCTGTTATACCACTGCCAGTTATTCTTAACACAGAAGAGGAATCTGGTGGTAGCAGATTTATTCATTTAATTATTGTATTTATACCCCCCCCCTTTCCTCCAAGTGGTCTCTGGCTCTCCATGTCATCACTGTCCTGTCAGGTAGGTGAGGTTGAGCATTGGTGATAGGCCCAAGGGTACCATGTGAACTTCATGGATAGGAGGGGATTTGGACCCAGGTCACAATACAGGCCTCTAACCACTGCCCTGCACTGGAAGATCTCCCGCACATACCCACCAACAGAAGTGGTTTGCCAGTGTGTGGATTTGAAAGCAAATGCTGCAACCATGTATTTATTACGATGGAAATAAGAAGCAGTTGCCAACATTTGACAAGCGCAATCCTCCCACCATATGAATGGGAGCACTTCAGGTTAATGTCCTCTTGGCTTTAATGTGCCCTGCTTTCTCATGGTGTTCAAGGTACTTACCGGTCCCTTATGAGAAGACTGCTACCTAACATTGCAACAGGCCCTATAGAAAGTCCAATTTAGATGCAGGTGAGTGCCCAAGGGGTCTTACACTTTATGAAACAAACAGATACCTGGATGAGAAGGAAGGCAGGGTTATCGATTACAGACCCTGCAAGTGTTTTTCCAGGGACAGTTCTGGATTTACAGAAGCAGTCCTGGTTTTTTGTTTGATCATAGAATGTCCTGCTTTTTCTTAGGATTTCCCTATTTCCATCAGATAAGTGTTGGAGTCTATGATGTTATGTAACCCTTGAACCAAAGAAATCAGTAACCATACAACCTCTAGAACAGGGGTCAGCAACCCATGGCTCCTTTGCCGCGGCTCTGCGGCAGATACTAGCGAGGGGAGGAGGCGCATTGTGTGCCCCGACACTCCCCACTGTGGCAGGCGCTGTACTGGCTGTGACGTCGCATGGGGCGGTGTGTGCGTTAGTCACGCACCGTCCCGACGTCACCTTCCCGCCCGCTGTCAGATCGGAGGGCAGCGGCGCACATGCTTTAAATGTCGCAATGGTTTTGTGGCTCCCAGTTGTTTTTTTCTTCGGAAACGGGTCCAAGTGGCTCTTTTTGTCTTAAAGGTTGCAGACCCCTGCTCTAGAACACATCTGAAGGGAGCCCTGTACAGGGATTTTTTTAATGTATAATGTTTTATTATGTTTTTATATATGTTGGAAGTTGCCCAGAGTGGCTGGGACAACTCAGTCAGATGGGCAGGTTATAAAAATGATGATGATAGAATAGGATGTCTTTGCTAGTTCACTGTTGGCTTATGGGCAGCCTTGCCCTCCTCCTGGCTGTTAAAGCCATGTACTCCCTAGTAAGCATAATTAGGACCGTGGCCTCAGTTCTGTAGGCAATATCTCCACTGATTTCCAATAGAGTTCACACTTTGGCATGGCTTGTACAGATCTTCTCTCTTGTGCTTTTTTGCTCTCTTTTTAAAAACTGCATGGACCTTCAGCCAAAGGGTTGGGTTTAAATTGCTCCTGTTGATGAGCATTGATTTAGTGCTCGTGAATTCCCATTAATTTTCCTATCCTGATTTATTAGCAACATTTCAAGAGAGCTTTGTTTACCATGTTCAGAATTGTTAGATTTAAATAACAACAACTCCAAAATGCTTCGGGTCTTGGTTTTCATCAGATCACGTTTGTTAACCTTTGCACAGAATTAGAACGAGGGGT